ATAATATAGTAGTATCATAATGGGTGTGAGGGCTTGACTTAATGAGAACTGGGTTGGATTCTCTTAGACGCGGCAGTTCATGGCCTCAAAAGCCAAAAATGGCAAGAGGCCAATACCAGTTTCTTTATCTTATTGTCGTAGGCTTGATCTAATCTGTCTTGCTTCGGGCGTTCGGGAGATGGCTGTGTAACAAATATCGTCTGGTTCTAAGGATATCTTTGTGGAATACCCAAGGGATTGGACTATCCGGTAATGTTTCAACAGGCCAAGCCTAGACCACAGGTACTTCTCCAGACGTAAACGAAGTAGCCAGTGATAGGTACATGTAGTGATAGGTCGTTATGTCTTGTCCGTACTTCGTACCGTCGTTGCCGACGTAGTTAATAAGTGCCTTGGCCAAGAACTTGGCGGGCGGAGAGGAAGACCAAGGCTTGGCCACCGGCGGAGCGTAAACAACTTCTCTAAAAGAGAACACCATGTCCAAAATACCAAGAGATACCAAGAGATACCAAGACTTTCCTCCGCTGGCACAATATGGACAATATAACAATATCAACAATATCTTATAGACGTGACCTATAATGTCGGGACAATGGAAGTTGCAAAGTCGACGCGACGGTGTAGCTCACGAATTATGCCATATTACAATCGGTTTAAATTCTCTACTCCAACACGATACGATGTCTTAGTAATTGATGACCTCAGGGAAATAGGGGATTATCATCGGAAAAGGGGTAAGACAAAGAGAAAGGGGAGCGACGCATTTCTTATGACGCGCGAATCGAGATTAAGCATTAAGGTCACGGGTATTCAAGAGCCGACTAGATTACTACAAACCAGACGGAACTGCCATTTCACTACGGGCTAGCTAAATTCTAAGGAGGTTAAGATGGTGTAATGGGTGTATTGGATGTAGTAGTTTGGTACGTAATAAGGCAATGATCAGTCCTAACTTGGTGTGAGTTGGTGATGGGGAAGTGGGAAATAAAGCGTTAGAGCGTGATAAAGCGAAAGGAACAATCCGAAGCGAAAACAGACGTTGCGAAGAAAGTGGGCGCAGTCGAGTCTCGGCGCAGGAGGAACCGGCGGCCAAGGTTTTTCCAAGTAACCATAAGCATTTTCTGGGCAGATATGTCGAGACAATCATCAAATGCCAAGAGCCGCCAAGGCCTTGGCATTCTCTTGGCACGGAAGTCACTATTGAGGAGGGGTGACTTGGACGTTAGCAGTCACCACCCGCTAGGATCCGAGTCACTTACGGCGCATGGTACTTGAGTCGTTTGCCCCCATTTCCCTCGAACCAATCATTAACCATCACTCGCTACACCCAAGACCCGTTGCCAAGACTTTCCGCCTCGATATCGCCAAGGTCAAACGTCCATAATAAGGAGCAAGCACGACAACTCGATTTACATAAACTGGTCATTCCTCTCTCCAGACAATTAATGTTTTCTCTCCTTTGCTACTTTGGGAATCGAATCTAAGTGATTTTGCTACTTGGAATTCAAAAAAACGCATAGTTTTATGCTTCTCTTATGCTCTATTATTCCAGAAGCAAAACTTGTACCATTTATTAATTCATTGTTGCATTTGCTGCATCCACTTGTCACATGCTACCGAGCTTGGACCGCCAAGCTTAATTCCTTGGGACTCTCCCATCTCTAAGAAAAAAGAACGATACCTTAGGTAATCAATGATCCATTAGGGTCAAACAATTCTACCGAACTTTATCCATCCATAAACAGTCACGTGCATTTTCTCGGATAATCCGTTTATTCCCCTCATACTCTAATTTTCCGACTCAAGCCTATCACGTGCATACCAGTCACGTGAATAACTCCCGCCCCTTTTACCCCTTATTCGATCAAAGTCAAAGCAATGTCCGCGGCTCCAGAGAACAACCCGATTCAGTCGGGTGGTGATAGTTCCACCTCCAATGGGACGACTCCGGCACCCTCTACTGCCACAACCGCAACCTCGCAGTCTAGCGCTGGCGCATCGGATGATTCTCTCCAGTGTCGCTGGACAGGATGCAGCGAGAAGTTTAGCTCCGCTGAGACACTCTATGTAGGTTCTTCATATTTCGCTTCTAGTAATCGGTAAGATCTGGCAGAAACTGAGGCTAACGGCCTTTTTTAGGAGCATATTTGCGAAAAGCATGTTGGTCGCAAGAGTACCAACAACCTCAACCTTACTTGCCAGTGGAATCAGTGCAAGACCACAACGGTTAAGCGTGACCACATTACATCTCACATTCGTGTCCACGTTCCTCTCAAGCCTCATAAATGCGACTTCTGTGGAAAGTCCTTCAAGCGTCCTCAGGACTTGAAGAAGCACGTTAAGGTATGCTTTATCGTATTTCGCTGAAGTTCAGTCTTGGTTTGGCCGCCGCATGCTAACTCGAAATCGCAGACCCATGCCGATGACTCTGTACTCGTCCGCTCTCCTGATCAGCAGCATGGCCCCATGAACGGAGCCTACCGAGCCCAGGGCAAAGGTATGTATTAGCTCAGTTCGAAACACCCTATTCCCTCATTTTAGAGGCTAATTTGCCTCGTAGCTCCGTCTAGTTATTACGATCATAACGGACAGATTCGTACTAACTCGGCCGCGTTCGGTCAGCCACCGCATCCCGGAGGCCACCCGAGTAGCTACTACCAGCACCACCCTTCCTCCTTTGGAGGTCCTATGTACTACCAGCCTATGGGCGGTCGTGGTGACCACATGGGCTACCAGGCTTCCGCGGCGGAGTATGACAATCGTAAGCGCACATACGATGTGCTCAATGAGTTCTTCGGCGATGCCAAGCGCCGCCAACTTGATCCGGCTTCCTACAATCAAGTCGGCCAGAGACTGCTACCGCTACACGGTGTTCTACCTATCCACTCCGGTTCCCTTGGTGCGGAGTATCTTCCCAGCCCGGGTGTCATGGCTGTCGATGGACCTGGTGGACATGGCCCTTACCAGCAGCACTATTCTCTACCTCCAATGCCTAACCTACGCACGAAGAGTGATCTGATCCAAATCGACCAACTCCTCGAGCAAATGCAGAGCACAGTCTATGAGAATTCGAATACTGCTGCTGCTGCCGGAGTCCACCAGCCAGGTTCTCACTACCTCCCGCTGGGCTTCCGTCATAGCCAGTCGCCTCCTCACTCCGCAGCTCCTACTCAGCCTACTATGGCTAATGGCGCATACTCAGCCGCTCATGTGGCTTCGCCTCTGACCGCCGTCTCTTCTACCCACTCCAACGGTACTCCGGCTGTAACGCCCCCGTCGTCTTCGATGTCGTACACATCAGGTCACTCGCCCAGCGCATCTTCTTCTGGTCTATCGCCTTCCACGCGACACAGCTCTACCTCGGCAGTGTATCCGACTTTGCCTGCTGTCACATCTGGCTACCCCGGCCAGTCAGCTACATCCACCCTCGGACCCACCTTCGACCCTGATCCTCGCCGCCGCTACTCCGGCGGCATGCTCCAGCGTGCCAACGCCGGCCCCCGACCGCACTTAGACCGCGAGCCGTCCAGCACGCCCAAAGCATCAGAGTCCGCCATCTCGGCCGTTAGCTCGCCGTCCGCCGAGTCTGAGGCCAGCGCCGAGGCCCGAGAGGACCAAATCTACGAGACCTGGCTCGAGAACATCCGCGTCATCGAGTTCCTCCGCGAGTGTGTCCGCGAGCGCCTGCGGGCCCGCGACTTCGAGGCCGACAGCCCCGCTAGCAACGACTCTATGGAGGTTGACTCGCCCACGCGTCCGCCCTCTCAGCCTGCTTACCCTGCCCTGCCTCTCTCGTAGGACGCTGATGAAGAGCATCAGGGTGACGTCGAACGACAGGGCTCTGAGATGCAGGACCAGTCGGTTTACCCTCTTTCGCCCCTGCGTAAAAACCGCAGATTAGACGAGTGAATTGCCGCTGTAGCTGCAGTTGAATGGAGCTCCCGGATGAGGAGGACCTCTACTATGATTGAACGGAAAAGCAATGATTCAAGAAAATCCATGAGGGGTGTACATACGGGAAAACGGCGTTGGTAGGAGGTGAGGAGCATCACACATTTTTCTCTTCTTTTTTTCCTCGGTTTATTCTTTCGGCACCCTCCTAGACCTCGTTTCGAAGGGAAGCATTGTCACATAGGGTTGCCGCTTCTATGTCGACGGTTGGGAGGACGACTCCCTTCCTCTATTGAAAGTTTCAGTATTGATACTTGGGTCTGTCCAATATCTTCCAAGGTTGTTTTTTTGCTGTTTTCTGTTTGAGGTTCGGTAGGCTCTTTAAGTAAGCAATGAGTAGGTGAAGGTGGGAACGAAAACTACTCGCGTTTCTTCTCTATTGCTACGTTAGGTAGTCACGTATCGGTCAATGTAAATGATACCGGTTATTACTTTCCAGTTCTTGTCCTGGTAAATGCCGTGCTTCTTGGCGGTCTTTGTTCGTACGTAAGGCTGTCTCCCCCCTGCTTGGCTAGCTGAGACCTGGGCAGCTCGTAGTGGTATTGGCTGTAAGACTTGGAAGGCCGTAGCCAAGGAAGCCTTCAGTCGAGGTCTATTTATGGCTTGTCCCTATCGTTGCTGGGAAGGCAATGACTAACTGGTTGGCTAATATGCATACAGACGACAAGTCACATCTACAACTAGAGCATTGACGTAGGGAGGATCGGTAGAGTTATCACGCAAGCAGTAGGGGAATAATAAGGTAATGGATTAAAGGGGCGACGCGGCATGAAGAAGCTCAACGCTAAGATACTCGATGGTACAGAGATTGGGCGCTGAAGTAAAATATATAGACGCTGTCCGAATAGTCAAGGAAAGTACACGCCGGTTATACCTTCCGGACGCACAACCCGTCCGGTCTCTCTCACGGGGCATCAACAACGCCCCATGATAGTATGCTCCTTCCTCCCGGAGAAACCTATACGTACCTCAGGTGCCAAAACTAACCACAGCCAAGGGTACCTTATAAGACATGATAAGTCGTCATCAACTCAAGCAACAAGAACCCAGCACCCATGGAGTAGAAGTTAACTCGTTCCCCTTCCATGGACTTAGCTAAGTGGTAAGGTAAGGGAAAGACCCGGGTGCAAGTCCCGATGGGTGCAACTTTTTGGAACCCAAGTGCCAGCATTCACGCCGGTCTGGAGGTATGTATGTCTCTCTTTTTCGTTTATTCCTGTCGTCATTCATCTCACCTTCACTCACTGGCCTTTCCTGCTGGTTCTTTGTTCTTCATCTCGACTGCCCCACACCCCTTTTCTATGCTCTCTTCTACTTCTCCTTTAGAATTTGGTTATTAGAAGATATACTATTAGCGAAACTGGCTTAAGAGGGTATTATCGGGAAAGCTTACTTTAAAGAATAGCGGTTTAATACATCCTCTGGGATATGAGGTATTCAGTTACCTCTAAGTAATCAGATAGACGGACGGATCCGTGATAGGGCGAGGCGATGCAACTTATGTTACATACTGACAATGATTGGTCACACGATCGACGAATAAACAAATACCCGCAGTGCAGTCCCACGTCATTTATCCAGAATTATTTCATTTCTATTTTTACTCTTTGGTATCAATTCGTTTACTGATTTATCTCAAAAATAAAAAATAAATCGGCGACTATATTACGCTTAGTCTTCAATAAAAGATAAAAGAAGATTTCAGTGCCTCCATTTCTCGTTTACTATGCTCGGCGCCCTTTCTATATGATCTTTCGCGAGCTGGGTGACACATTTCAAAATAACTCAGATACAGTCGTGTGCGGAAGGAAAAGAGTTAAGATTTGAAAGAGCAGAGATTTTCGAAAGAGATGGCGTATGTGGAGATTCTCGCTTCGCTCCAACTTCAAACGCCGCGCCGCAAGATCCGATAGGTATGAGCTTACTACCAGCTTTAGATTTTGGCAATGACTTGAAGCTGGTGAGCGGACCAGATTAGTTGACCCGGATCGTCATTACTGCATCCTTCCCACCAGATGTTGATTGTCTTGATTCCCGGGGAAGAATACAGGATATGCTTGTTCTGTATAGCGGGACGCTCGAAGCGGGGTGATGAGAATCGCCGAGTCGGCAGTCATGACACGTGTATAATCATGAAAGAACCAGACTCATCGCCGCTTATATGTGTTGCTTGAGACTCGGCTGGAGGATGGTCCAAGAAATATCTCAAACAATTAGCCAGGGGAGTTGTTCTCGGAGTTGGAGGCTTCATCGCGGCATCTCTGGCACATACACCATCCGCCAAGACTGCCTCTCGCCCACTCCCTACGCAGCTGCACGGGCAGGTCTACGTCGCAATAATGATTGAGGATTTCCTCGCCAGCTTTTACGCCGCCTGGCGCATTTCCAACAATCCTCCTCTCCCGCGCCTTCAGTACCATTCGACCACCCCATTCCCAGGTGACATTCGGGTTGCAATCGTGATTGGCAAGGCACCAGAAAGGATGCACGGCGGCAACGTCGGGCCGTCCGTCCCTGGGGTTCTTACGCGCCGACGCAGTGCCACGGAACTTGCTGTATAGGGTGTTGAACACCCATACGTCGTAGGTTGCAAGCGTGGCGTAGATATCAATGTCCATCTTCTCGAGGATATGCAGAGGAGTCTCGATATTGTACGTAAAGGAGAACGGCAGTGTCCAATCCGGGGGTGGACCCGCTTTAGGCGACAAATCGATTTCGTTAGTTTTGGATGAGACGAAATCCCCCCAGATATACTTGACTTGGTCAACATCAAGCGGATGTATTTCTTGATGTGCCGCCATAGCTAGAACGCGTGCAAGGAGCAAGAGGTGGAGGGTTTCGTCAGCTTCCTTCGCATCGGGATCTTTGGCGATCGAATCGACGTCTTTATCACAAACAGCCGGATGATAGAGCGCTTGGGCCTGCTCAAAACAGTATTGGTCGCAAAACACAGTATCGTAGCATTCCGGACAATTGACGGCGGTCGACGAGCTTCCTAATGGTGGGAGTTCTCCACTGCAAGCATCGCATACCGACTCCTTTAGGCGATTATTGGCTGTCACCAAGGAATACTCGACAAGTACATCTTCTCCCGGCGCGATGTCTTCCTTCGCAAATACCCCGAGTTGGTTACAAGTCGGAATTATATCGTACCCATCTGTGCGGCTCGGACATCCGAGCAGAATAGGCAGCTGTGCGACCCGGACTGTGCACTTGGGTGCTATTTCGGCCAATCCAGCGTTTAGGAAAGCCAAGGACTCGTCCGAGAACCGATCCGGCTCGTAGCTATTCCAGGGATACACTTCCCGGCGCACCATGCCCCAATCCGGAAGATCGTTGAGGCCGGAAATCGGCTTGCGTGTCCTGCGCTCAGCAACAGTTTGAATGTAACCCCGCGTATTCAGGAGCTCCTTGTTATCTGGCGCGATAGCCAGCCCACGCTCGCAAAAGTTGGAGGCGCTCCTTAAACAACCGCATAGCAGCAGGCCCAGGGCTAATATTTGATAACATCGGATAGACGCAAGCTCCGCAAGAGCGGTGATATCCTTTGTACCGCCTTCTAATTCTGGCAGACGGGACTGGCTTCCAGATAGGGAACCGTGGTCTAAGACTTCTAAGACTGGGCCGTGCGCGTAGCTTGTCAAAGCATCGAGAGCTTGATCATGGTACTCGAAGCTCTCGTCGCGAACCTCGTCGGTCAGCAGGAGGGCACGGTAGGCATCGCCAGCAGCCAAGTCGGGATAGGCTAGGTCGGCATATACCAATGCGCGCTTTATATAAAGGACGAGGTCGTATGGGCTGGCCAATAGATCATCTGTCAAGGATTGGCGTTGGCGCAGGAGCGACTCGATCCGAGGGTCGACCTCCTCTTCGGACTCGTCCATCACTCGGGCACCGTTAGTGCTCTTTTATACGTAGATACGTAGGAATCGATATGGGTACTGTTGGGGAGCTGAGCAACGGTGTGTGGGGGGCGGACCGCACTTCTGATCAGGGGCACGTCATTGCTTAGTCGTCGGTAGATTGTATTCGTACCTTGGCGAGTGGAAGCCGGCCACGGATCAGCACGGATGAGTACAAGTACGTAGTAAGTACTAGGTGCGACGCTTGTCTTGAAGGTTGAATCCGGATTTTTGGTCAACGTAAGTGCTGCAAGACGTTGCTGATCGTCGGCGCGCTCTCGTTCTCGGTTTAGTTCCCGTCCCGCGTTTTTTTTTTCTCTCCCAACACGACAACTAAGTCTTAACTTCTTAGAGGGGCGGCCGACGAAGTGGCATTAGCCGAATTTGATCGATATAGGTAAGAATGATGGGTTTGTTAGGGAGTGGACATCAGGACGGGCCTAAAGACTGGAATTGAACGAGAACGAGACTGGGAAAATTCAAATGTTCTTTTCTAAGAGTGAGGATATCCCTCTAACCATAAAAATGTTGTAGCACAGGTCCGACCAGAGAGAGACCCCTCCAAAGTGTTGTGCCCAAAGCTAGAAATTGTGGCACGACCCTTGGGTGGAGTAACCTTAGAAAATCTGGATGGGACGATCAACCCAAGGACCCTTGATGCTTCTAAATTCAGGGTCCACTGGAGACCAGTCAGTACCACATGTTGTTAATTAGGTACGTACTGGCGGGTCCTGTAGTGGCCCGGCCTGCGGTCTGCGGGGCTAAACAGGGTACCTCTAGGCTACTTCTTGAAATAACTCGTGGCTTCCATGAGCAACCATGGCCGGGGGTTAAACAATTGAAATAGGACCTGTGTGGCTGATGGAAACCATTGATACCGGCATCTACCGAAAATGCTTGGCAGGTAGGTATATTTTGAAACATTTCTCTTTTGAGTATCCTGATCGTCTATGGTTGTCAACGGTGTCTACGGTTCTTGTGACGAGTTGGCTTGGATTCGAGCGCCTGAAGAATATGTATAACATTGAAAGAAGGAGTAGACTCGACGTCTCTCCCCTGGGTCCCCTCCGGCTATTCCGGTCTAGTTAACAAACCTTATCAAAACCTTCAAATCCAACATTGAATGATGTGATTCGAGCTACTGCGAAAAGCGCCTGCAATGTAACTCCACTGCACTTCAGTTTGTGAAATTGTCCGTGGCTCCCCACCTAACATGTTTTTACGCCCTCTTATCGCGTGAGGCTCTCCAATGTGCCTAAACGGTTGAAAAAAGTAAGCAACATCATTATGGCAACAGATAACTGGCCCAGTATGCATTATGTAACTGGAACTGTTGGGATTACTATTGTTACCTAAGTTTAATAGACTATGTACCTGGATAAGTAGCTGTTAAGGAAAGGAAGGGAGAAAATAAAAGGGGGCTGTATCAAAAACATGCGTAATATCGGATGCGTAATGGTTTTCTTTTCTGAATCGGATATGCACAAATACCTGCACGCTTTAGCTACAGGCTGATCCTGTTTGAAAATATTCGAGTGTCATTATACTGTCTTCGGAGTGATTTTCGGTCTCATTGTTTAGAAAAAAGCAATTTACCGAACCCTATACATCGGGCTTTCTGGTCCTATATTCGATTCTTGCGGTCGTTCAGGTATAATAATTTCATCGATATAATGAATTTGAGCGTAAACCGACTGGATCTCATCGTACTTGAGAATACCATAGCAAGTAATACTAATAGGTACTAATAAGCGATACCTAGTGTCAATTTGTATACGAAATGTTATTGCTGTCTAATACTTTTAGTCATTGGAAACTTTCAATACCATTAAATGAATGAGTAAATGTCTGACATGTTTCTTGGCGCATACGTTTGGAATTGATGGAGTAGAGGATAGAGTGATCCTCTAGCTTCGAGTCTGTACATGACATTTGGATCTCTTAAAAAAATCTAGGTGTGGTCCTATTTGCAAAAGGGCCGCGATGGTAAATATTTGCAACACACTTAAATTCAAACCATACACTTGGTGTAACGAAATCAGCTACCATATCCTGTGACGCCATTGACCTTGTAGTATACAATCCGGCTACATGTTTATTCGGGTTTCTTGCTGGCTTCTCCCTCTTTCACCATGCCCTCACAGCCTGTGGCTTGGCCCAATTTCTGTTCAACTTTGCCGAAACCCTGTGATGGATCGCGTTGTTCACCGGCGGCCTTCATGGTGTCTACGGCGTGGGATTTG